GGAATAACGGGGTGAGGTGTGCGGGTGTTCCAAACAAGCACATACATCGGCCTCTTGTCTCAAATCTATCTACAGAAGCCGCGAAACCGACTTGCCTGGGATCCCAGGGCGCTTTCCGTGCAACTTGACTTGCATGGTAGAGCTATGAAAGATGAGTCATGGACTATAGCGGCACTACCCGAAGACGGCTTGTGTCTCCCACCATTATGCTACGGTCTTCAAGAACCTTCTTGCGATAGACCGTGAAAATTGTGCAGCTGCTTCATGCTGAGACGACTACTGTAGAAACTTTGGGCTCGATGGCAATGTGGGCATTATGTACCTTGTCATGACCTTGGCTGATTTACTGATTGCTTCAGGAACGTTTCAGGGATACTTTACTATGAATCTTCCATATACCATTCCTTTTTATCTAAGGTTTCACTTTTCGAAAGAAACGGCCGTCGAATTTTTTTCATCTCTGCACCACCTCGTGCGAAGTAAACGTTTATGATGTGCTCGCTGCAGCCGAAGCGCAAACTCGATGCGTTTCAGGCCTCATCAAATATGACATAGTTCGAAGATGAGTGTGCGCCTGTTTCCTCCGCTGAGCTGAATTTATTTTATGTTGCAAATTCGAAGCAAGCGATGAAGTCAAACATTCCGCGACAGACATCCACCCTGTGGAATACGGAACAGTGTAAATCTGATTCATTGTTGTGGCTGTGAGCAGGGCACGATATCGTTGTGGAAATCGCAAGGGGAGGGGAGTCGTATTTGACAGCAGGGGTGAATCGTAAGTGCAGGGCTCATACAGCAGTGGGATGAGCAGCAGTACTGAAATGCCATACAATCACTGATCGCGAAAAATTATTAATGCTTCTTGTTGTGAAAAACACCTGAAGAGACACCTGAAGACAGAGGCAAGTCGCAAGCTCAGAAGTGGGGAACAGGCAGTGAGAGGAAGTACCACAACGTCGCCCACAACGACGTCTGAATTAATAAACAAACAAACTACAGAATACGGTCGGATCTTGTTGAACTGTTTGAGTACGTCTGCTTGCACAGGACGCCTTGGGCTGGGCTGCGTTTATACTTTGCGGCAGCGTAGCGCTTCCAGCGTTTCACTAGCGTTTCGCTAGCGTTTGCAGCGGCGGGGCTAGAGAGTATAGAAGAACAGGAGAGTACAAAATACTATCCCACGCTAGAGAGATAGAGAGAGTAGGAGAGCACAAAATGCTCTCTTACGCTAGAGAGTATCGAGGAGCAGGAGAGTATCGCCGGCCGAAGGCGGGCGATCCGACTGGGCCTCAGTTTGGATGGCCGGGGACCCACTTCACACGCATAAGGAGGATCGCCCGCCGAAGGCGGGCGATCCGACTGGTCATTTGCAAAAGTGTGAGCGTGAGTCGCGTTCTTTGTTCTCAACCGCTGAGTGCGTATTTCGCTGAAGGATCTTGGTAGCCATGCAATTGCCTCACGTTGAGTAATGGCATGACCGGGGTATGTGAGACCGGGTCCCCCAAACCAGTAAATCACATGCTCGTTCATCACGTTTCAATGCATCCAACGATTGAAAGGGCGACGGCCTGTGAAGACATTTGACAGCTGTTTTGTTTACCTCGCTCCTTCAGGCATAAAAGCCTGTGTCGTGACGGATTGGGGATCATCAACAGTAGCATGGACAGTTTGCAGATTTCACATGTTTACATGATAAATATAGTGTGAAATGAAATGAATTATTTGAAGTGTTCAAAAATGTTGAAGTTTGTTTTTTTTGTATTGTAGAACAGATCGGCGCGCAGCATGGTGGGAAAAGAAAGATGGCGCGCAAATCGACGTGGGAGAATGGGCGCCAAAAATGCTCAGTCGTCTTGTCGATTGGCCTCGAGCCTCCTATCCGCGGTTTCGGGCATATGGCCCACTTCCTTTGTGTTGTTATTTTCACGATGGTCAGTGAATATTTTTGTTTCCTTTCTGTGCAACTCTGAGCGCTGCCGAATCAAGGTGTCTAAGTCCGCAATTCATTGTCTTCGGTAAATCGGTGAAAAACCTTGAAATAGAGAACCGTCATTCAACTTGGTGGCCAAGCGGACGTCTGGAGCTCAGGTGAGTAATAACAATGTTTTCTCTTTTCTCTGACGTTGTGGCCCCTTGGGCTTCCTAGGAGTGCCACCACGTTTCGCGCTGCTAGCGAGTGAGTGGCTCCAAGAAAAGGAGCTCAACTGAGACCAATGTGGTATCTCTTCTGGTGAGGGATCGCCGGCGACGCTATGTGCGTGAGAGCTGGCGATTCCTGCGGAAAGAAGAGACTTGGCACCACACAATCGCTGATCGCCCATAAATGGCAGAGTCAGAAGCGTCAAAGGACGCCGAGAGAACTGGTAACAACATACCTGCAGTGAAACGCACTCCATGGTAAAATTCGGGAATCACGTGATTGTGGAAATGTGCGGAAAGCGCGCAGCCGTGCGGAGGAGCTGGAGCAGCTCAAGGTATGTATGTGATCAGTTGCTGCAAAGGATCAAGGAAATAGAAATCTTAGTGGGGGCGGAGGTCAGCAAACACTGGCGCAGTAGCGACCCCAAAAGAGAAAGGTTTGAGCAGGTTGCCAGTATGGCAGTAGGAATTGCTGAGGAAGGAGTATCGAAGGTCAAGGAAGCCTTCGAAAAATGCGCCAAGGAGCAGCAGAGCTATAGGCAACTCAGGGCGTCTTTTGAGTGCGAAACACAATTAGAATTCGTAGAGACGATAGAAGGCTTGGTAGAAGTCGACGAAATTCTAAGGGTAACCAAGTGGAGTCAAGAAGACCTGGTGAGCAATTGCGCTGAGTTGAAAAAGAAAATGGCGCGACTGCTACAAAAAGAGAATGAAGTGCGTTCATTACAGAGCCAGTTGGAAGCCAGAGAAAGGGAGCTGGATGAGCTCAAAAGACGGAGAAAAGAAGTCAGGCGTGAAGAAATTACTAAGAACGCGTTTATTCTTCGAATGCTTGTGAAGATACTCCTTTTTTCGGTTCCTCCTGGTTAAGAGTGGCATCATGGGAAAGAAGCCGAAATCAGATCTACACAGGTTGTCCAGAAACATCAAATGCGGGCGAACTCGTCATAGCATCGACTCATGGGCTACTTACTAAGGCTGTGGTAGGGAATGATTGACAGCACATTCGCGCTTTTGCCTGTTTTGTCGGTTCCACGTGGGCAGCCGGCATATCCGTGTTTCGAAGTTCCGGCAAAATCCCATGACCCCGGATGTGGCGTAAGGACACCATGGCCGGCTGGTGTAGGCGCTAGCGTCAGTGCTCACTAGAAACCCTACCTCTTGGATAACGGCTTAATCCAAAGTCATGCTGTTACTTCGAAACCGCCCGGGACAGCTCTGTTCTTGTTGTTTCTTCTTTCTAGCTTCATATGCCCACACACATGCCACTCTTCATTTCGAGGAGTTACATATCATAAGGAGCTGTAGCCCTTCTGAGTTTCGTCTTTTTGGGTCTCCTCTACTTCTAGTGCATCCTCTTACATAGATTTCCAAGGCATGAATGTTTTTGGTCACATGGTAGTTCCTCCTCGCGCTTTCCTTTTTCGTGTGTCTATTTTTATTTCTTCTGTTTCCTTTTTACTTTGTTACTTTTTTAACTCTTTTTTTGTTGTTCCCTTAATTTTTTGCCTATCATTTCCTTTGTGTTTGATTCTAGAATCACTGAGTTCTGTTACTGATCTC